AATGGGAATATGTTTGTTTCTCCCCTTCAGTACTGAAGAGTAAACTGCTAAATTATCTCTCTTTTTCTTGTGGAAAAAGACCTAGAAAGTTACAGCTTTTTTTTTTTTCTTCTCTATGGATATATTCACTGACTGCAGTTCCAAATGCTGCTTACCGTAGTCTTTAAGATGTATAACCATCTTGTTACCACCAGGAGATGTTGGGATATTGTCTCGAGTTACTTGAATTAGTGTTAACATTCAAAAGTGAAGTATATGGTCTCACTCAACACGTATTGCGCCTGACAGTAAATTTTTATTCAGCAAAAAGTGACTTGTCTGGCACGTTAGCAGTTTAACATAATAAATATGAGAGATCTGTGGTATTGGAACACAATAATGAAAACAAGTGAGTGTTCAGATAGGAAGTCATCTGGGCTGAAGACGTATTATGCTTTGTACTTGTGTTGCTGAACAATGAAATTCCCTAGACAAGACTTTATAAGCAGCAAATTATGAGACGTTATGCTCCCTCCCATTTGTATTTTCTTTTGTTTAAAAAAAAAAAAAAGTAGTGATGCAAAAATAGAGTGCAAGTTACTTAACTTTTATTCACTCCACTCAGCCTGAGGGAAGCCTGCTTTGTAGCCAGAAAAAAGCAGAGTGGAAGTTTCTGTTCATTTCACTGATGTAACTCGCTTTACTAGTTACCATTATTATCTAGTTGCAGCTACCTGAATAGCTGACAGGAAAGACTGTTAAAGATGCACTTTTTCCAAAAGAATTATTTTTATTTGAGCTTTTAAAATGCAGTATTGTGTTGCAAGTATTATGTTGCTTGTCACCAAGCAAGATTTCAGGTTTGCTTCTTTTGCCAGTGTGGTCTCTGCAGATGCCTTTGTTGCTATTCTGAGCAACTTGATCCTTGTTTTATCTCTGTACTTGAAAGGATAGTTGCCAGTATCTGTTCTACATGAAGATTTTCAAAATAAGATTTTTCCAAGCCTGTGATTTTCTTAACTTCTGCGGTAGTTAGTGTTAAGATTAGTTAAGATTTAGTAACAGTTGGGATAAAGTAAACCAACATTTCTATCGTAGACACAAGGAGATAGTTATCATCTGACTTAATAGCGGTTAACTTTCCAAGTCTTGGCTATATTACAGTAGCAGATTTAAAAAAAAAAAAAAAACCACACACACACGCACACACAAAACCACCTGTGGTATATAGAGAAGAACATAACGTGTCTGCTTAGCTAAGTTAAGATAGAGATCTCTTGCTCAGGTAGAGCTTTTAAAGGAATTGTAGATTTTGGAAGCTATACCTGGGCACAGAAAAATGCTTTACAAAGGTACCTGATCTCTTTTATATAGAGGCACATGACGGTGGTGGTGGTGGGAGGGTTGTAATCATCTCAGCACACACCTGCACCTGTTTACTAATTGGTATGAAACAAACAAAAACCTCTTCCTGGAAGAAAGAGCAGTTATTTTAAACTGACATAGGTTTTTATCAATATGTCTGTATTTGGAGGTGAGGCCTTCCTGTTAGGAGAAACACTGAGGTTAAAGTTATTGTAAGTAAGTTCTATTAGATAAGGAGCTGAGTTAGAACTTGTATGTTTGTTGTACGTGTTGTGCTTTATAGGATTATGACTATATTTTTCCTGAGGTTTTTCTGTGGTGATACGTGTGTGTGGCTGACGTGTTTTAAGAGGTCCTTTCTCTAAGTGAAATAAAGCTAAGGATATTGTTTCTCTATATAATCAAAGAGCTATTTAAAAGACCTACTGTCCACTAGCTAACTGTGATACAAGAGGCACTTTGCACATATGTAACACTTTAGATGTCATTCAAAGTAAAAGGGAAGTATACTATTTGAGAATTATTGAAAATAAGGCTGTTCTATTTATAAAACAACACATAAATCTCCTTAATGTTCAATGGAAAAGAAACACAAAAGATATTTGCTGGAGTTTTATCTCTTACTATCCAAATAAATTCTGCTTTGGAGCGTGTAATACAGTAGCTGTTCTCATAGACTTCTACACTGTAAGCTTAAGTTCCAAGAACTTTAATTCAGCATAACTGTTTTCTTTCCACCATTTTAATTAGCTGTCTGATAGTACCGAAATCTGTTTTATATACATATAAATTCAGTAAACACAGAAATCTGTGGTGTTATATTTTTATACAAAAATATGAAAGAAAGCTTTGAGTTAATGCATCTGTAATTCAGCTCTCTGTATTGCAGAACATATGTTGTTCTTTTTTAATTAAACAAAACATAATATGCAGAAGAACATAGTCTATCTGATGGTACCGAAAGAATAACACATTATTAAAATAAGACCAAGAATATTCACTGTAACCCTGGATTGTGGGAGGATAGGAACAGATGAAGTTGCCAAGTGGATATGATAAGTTTAAGGGAAGAGTGAGAAATTCTGGAATCCTCCCATCTGCCTGGCTTGGCCGTGCGTGTGGAGCTAGAGTTCCATAAGGTGTTTGTTTTGTGCACAATACTATGACTAGAGCTTTTAATTACTTTTTAAATAAATTAATTCATTAACGTATCTAATGGAATGATTTGCTTTGTGCAAACTCTGAGCTGTCGAAATAGAAATGTTTCATGGAAAGCTCAGTTTTACTGCAGCGCTCCAATGAATTACTGCCAGGTGGTTCTCCTGGTTTTTTTGGCCCCTAGTCCGGCTCTCTAGAAGCCGAGCGCCTGGAGCCCTGCTCCCAGGTGCCGTGCTTCCCGTGGGTCCTGGTGAGGATGACTCTCGGCTGCTTTGAAGGTCTGGAGTGCTAGTTTGTAGATCCTAACTCCTTGCCCATGCAAGGATGTACCGGTTTTGGTGAAGTCCGCTAAGCTGAGCGTTTTTGAACAAAGGACCGAAGGTTTCCAGGGTTTGTGGCCTGAAGGAATCCCCTGGCTTGGAGGGTTTATGGCATTCTTTTTATTAGTTTCAAATCGGAATAAAACCAGATGTCAAAATGTTAAAGTCCTACAGTGATACTTTTGCCATGTGTCGCTACTGACCGACTTCACTCTCTCACGTAGAGTGACCTTATATGTGTGTGTGTGTGTGTACGGAGGGCAGAAGGCTAAGGGATTTCTCTTTCTGTTGGTACCTTGGAGAATTCACTGGTTGGGAAAGAGGTACGAGAAGACCATTTGGTCAATTTAGGTTTGTTGGAATACTGCTGACTGCATTCAGAGAAACTTGCTAAAAGTTAGTGATTTAATTTCTGGAAGTCCTGCTGGTTTTTTGGGGGGTGGGGTGGACTGCCATCTTTGCTCTCTGTCTGCCTCTCATCACAGGTAGAGAAGTGCGGACAATAATCGTACAGTGGAATTGAACGTGGAAACACAAAATGAAGCGCAGACATTTTGGCCAGTTGTCATACCTGATTTTCTTTGGTTGGTTGAGGTTTCTCGAGTGGGAATTCTGAGGCACCCAGTGGTGCTTGTAGCATTATATTACTTACTCCATGGTTAACAGGTGTGACCTTTTGTTTTTAAGGTAGCATGTATTTTGTGCATATAAATACTTAGCTGCAAGTCACTTGGTAAAAGTAGCTGTACTCTACATGGTCCTCCATTTCTTATCTTTGAATGTTTGTGGACTTGGACTTACCATATTGTTCCGAGAGAGTATTTACATTCTCAGTTTTCTTTTCCCCTTCTTCCAGAGAAGGTGTTTGGTGTTCATTTATGATGTCTGTGGTTTAGCCTGTAATTCAGCCATTAAATGCTGACTGCATTTTATATACTGCCTTATCTTTTACTGCCAAAAGAGCTTCTACAGTACAACAAAGATTAAAGAAGCGTTATGTATGTAATTTTTAAAAAGGAAAGCTTTCTTCTTGATTCTCTATGTTATTATTAACCCTACTTCTTTATTTCATCTCTGCTTGTATTTAATATTTTTTTTATTTTAAAATACTGTTTTTTCTATTCTGATTCAGTTAGAATGTCTTAAAAATGCAAAGTCCTCATTTTAAGAATTAAGATGTGTGATAAAACTCCAGAGAGAATAGGATTTATTTTCTGTGTGTACGATGAATTTATCTATTAAACTTTTTGTGTTTTCAGATTGAAGCAGGTGAGAAATTTCTAGCTTCTTTTCACATTCTCATTTCAAGTGTAAAACATCAGACTTGAAAGATGTTTCAAGGCTATATTTTCACTCATGTTATTAGTCCTTAATATAATTATATAGGAATTGCAGCTGTTGAGAATTTTTTAGTGTATACTATGCAATTAAAAAAAGTAGAAGGTACCAGATAATGTACAAAGATTTTCAATAAATCACATAAATTATATCAGCAGACTATTTTATAGTTGCTCCATTGGTCTCTAAGTATATGCCCATGTGGAGTGAGAGGTACAGTAGATAATAAATAGTAATATTTTCCTTCAAGTAATTTTAAATCCAGAGTGGGAGAAATACAGATTGTTAATGCTGTGGTAATGCATACATTGGAAATAACAGTTAAAGAAAAATTTCCTTTATTTCTGCAAAATAACACTTATCTTCTGACATTAATTGAATTGAAAATGGCCTTGATCATCTAAACCCTCTGTAATCCAAATACTCAATATTCTATATTCCATTTGGATAATTGAAGTTTGACTCTACACTATTTCTAGTAAGGTATATAATTTAACTCATTTGCCTATAGTTCACATTTTAGGACAGATCAAAGGAAACCTAACTGATGAATGTATAATTGAAATCACATTTATTTCTCTTCATGATTTCTGTCCAAATACCGTGCTGTTGATGAAAGCACTTGTACAAGTGGTTAAAAGCATCAATGCAATTTACTGTAGATAATCCTTCCTTTGAAGGAAAACCTTTAAACTTAGTGTGTCTTCTAATACAAATCTTAACATACTAGTAAACTAGCTGTGTTTTTCAGGTTCCATTTTTTTTCCTCCAGTGTAATCATATTTCTTTATGATAATCTCCACAGGATGGCTTGATAATAGAAAACATGCATGATCTTCCTTACACAGTTGGTCCTGGGCCTGAAATAACAGCAGCAATGACAGTCATTAGTGCTGCAGTGAAACGAACCTGCCCCGGTCTCCCGCTGGGTGTCCAGATTCTGTGCGCTGCAAATCAACAGGCTATAGCGGTCGCTCTTGCGGCAGGTAATGGAAATGACTCATCACTTATTACTGTTGTTTGCTATGGCATTTACTCTCTGCAAATTGTGCATTGTGCTAACATAGATACCATGAAAAATGAGACATGAAGAGCTCACTGTACCCTGAAAAAGCAGAAATTAGATTTTGAGAAAGATGCCTACTTGATTATAATAGATGATACTTGCGCACTGCTTCAGTAGCAGACAGCTAAAAATCCCAAGGCCACTGCCATTGCTTTTGAGGTGAAACCTGTCTAAATGCAATGATTAGTTTAAACCTACTCATGTTTAAAAGCCACCTTTGGCATAACTCTATTTACTTCAGTTGAATTATATTTGGGGATTAGTTTAACCTACTGTGGTTAAGCATCCTGCTTCAGTATCTAATTATACGGTGTTGCTACTACTGCTACCTATTAAAGCTAAGTTTTTGTTGCTTTTTTGTTTATGAATGAATGGAATAAAGCCTTTTTGTATGATAACTAAATATTGAGTATGTTGCTAGCCAAATGACTTAAAATCAAATTGCATTTAGGAAAATTAAATATAAATTGATATATCTTTACTGTTTGACTTGCTAACCTTTCTGTTCCTACCGCCTTCAGGAGCGGTTTGAGTTTTTCATATATAACATTTCCTTATTTAAAGATGGAGGCTGGTCTAATATGGAAGGCTGAAACTGCTTAAATACTTCATCAATTGAGCTAATCTAAAAAAGCTAACAAAATCCGGTTGTATTTTAAGTTTTCAGGATTGAATGCGTGTAGGATACTCAAGATGCATAGGCACCGCTGTGGTGGTACACCACCGTGGTCAGATTGTTAGTGGGTTGTGCATTCCTTCAGGAACAAAATTGATCACTAAAATGGGAGTGTAGTGTGGAGATTATGCATTTCTCTTACTTCTCAGCAATTATTAATGAGGGAGAGAATTCCTGGAGGGCTTGAGTTTTGTTCAGTTCTACTACTGTTCTGCACTGCTTGCTCTGTAACTGGGGAACAGCAGCTAGGAAAGAGCAGCGTTTAATGCATTTCATTGCACTTTTCTAAGAATTATTATCTCAAGTTCACTGAACTAGGAGAGCAAAAAGAAAAGAAGAACCACTTTAAGAAAAGCCATGCTAAACTGAATGCTACTTTGGAGGTAGCAAACCTTTGGTAAGTTTTTCTGTAGTGACTTAGTAGCAACTTTAATATCAATACAATTTTAATGGCCTTTAGAGGTGGCTATTTATAAAGCAAAGCCTGCACATCTTCGCTACAAAAATACTTGCTCAAGGTGGTGTACCAAAAAAAAAAAAAACCAACAGATGTGGCATCTCCTGCTACTATGCCGTCATTTCACTTCCCCTGAAGAAATTTTTGTCTTTTTTGGAAATAACCCTTCTGAAGAGAGCTGCTCAGCGAGACAGTAAGTGGTCTTTAGGTGTAGATAACAATTTCCTTTTGTAAAGGGGGGGAAAAAAATCAACAAAGTTCCAGTGTAAGTAGAAGGACCTCATCATCAGTGACGCATGATTATGCTAATAAACATACTGTGGGTAACCAAATAGTAACAGATTAGATGTTTGAATTTCACTAGCATATTAACAAGTTATTGGATAAATCTGAAAATTACAATTATAAAATTGAGGCTAAGAAAGTTTAGAAAACTTCTAAAACTCTTATTTTGTTTCTTTAGGAAATTGGGCACCTAAAGGAAAGAATACCACCAAAAAATGTGCTCTTGTGGGGAGCTTCAGCAAAAGCATGAGACAGTGGCAGGAAAGTAGTGGGGGATCTTGGAAGAAAAGAGGAACCTCTGTGTCTCCTCTACTGGGAAGAAACAACTGTCAACATGAGCAGTTTTTCAGATTATTGAAAAACAGCTGTTGAGCCAAAGCAGTTGTTGCCAACCTCCTTCCTGCCCCAGAAGGTTATTGCCAGCTATTATATCAGCACTAAATGCTCTCCGGCTCAGAATGAGCCGAGATCAGGGGTTCAGTGAGGCAACCTGATGGAACAGGTTGCCCAGAGGGGTGGTGGAGTCTCCTTCGCTGGAGATATTCAAAACCCGTCTGGATGTGATCCTGGGCAATATGCTCTAGAGGACCCTGCTTGAGCAGGGAGGTTGGATGATCTCCAGAGGTCCCTTCCAACCTCAGCCCTTCTGTGATACTGTGATTCTGTTTGCCCCAAAGCTATCCTACAGGCCATTGCTTCCTCCTAACCACGGGCCTTGCTAGCAGGCTCCGTGTTTTCCCGTCACGTCACACAGACAAACATCAGTATGATGAACTGTGGGGAATCTTTTGCTTTCAGATTTGTTTTCAGGAAGTTCTGTTAAAAGTTATATAATTTTCCTTTGGTCCTAAAAGCTAATACGATAATACTAGCCCATATAAAAATTAATATCAGTATATACACAAATAGTGGGGCAGATTCATGTCACGTATTTCTTAATGTTTGAGTCTTTTCCTGCTCAATTTTTATACTCTTTTAATGTAAAATACAGTGCTATCTATAAATAACCACAGACCTCAAAACATGGACATAATACAGTAAAGTACAGTTTTGTATTTATATTTTTAACTGGAAGCCATCTTAGCCTCAAATACTTATTTTTAGAAGAATGCACTTTCTTAATAGTTAATTTTAATGGCATCCCCCAAAGACTGTCTTATCTTCATTCTTTCCTGTTTTATGAAACTAAACTGGCCTTTATGGAGCAGCAAATGGTGACTGTGTCAGAATTTGTTTGCTAGGGTTATTTTTCAATTGGTTCATTATTAACAGGTGTACCATGTGTTTTTAGAGGTGTATAATTTCCTGTTTGTAGATTCTGATTTGATTAACTACATCTGCTTGAGGTTGAAACCAAATGATGCATACAAGCAGGGCTTGAGCTTTTGTAGAAGAGATAAAAATCCAAATTCTCCCTTATTTATTTTTTTGCTTATCAAATATTACTGATTATCATTTTTCAACACTCGGGAATGTCTGGTATATGTTCACTGAGTCTAGGTCAGATTTTGTGCGTAGTGTTAGCTTTTCCTTACTTAACCAGTGCATCGTTTCCTGAAGTTAACCATTTTGTATGTTTGAACTGTCTGCTAGATTTCATGTACTCAACGGTGTTTGTTGTTGACCAGTGTCAACTGGTCAACAACAATTCAATTCAATTCAATTCAAACGGTGTTTGTTGTTGTCCAAATTACATGGTTTTTGTTTTATTGAAAGTTTGCTAACTATGAAACAGTATTCATATAAGAGAGCAGGACTATTATTTCTAAAGGAATCATTCAAAGGCTTTCAGCTGCTATATATGGTTTTGCTTGCACTAATGAGATGTTCAGCTTGGCTCTAATCTATCAGTGTAGGTCTTTGCAGAGCAAATGCAGAGCCTTTATAATACAGGGAAAATATGCTGATGAAATTCCCTTTATCCTTTTGCATATATTCTATGTTCTCCATTACCAAAATGTGGCAGCGATTGAAAGAACTAAACAACTGGCCCATCATTAATCTAAGGCAGACAAAGCTAATGGTGAAAAGAATTTCCAGAAGTACTGGCGTAGTGGAAGATGTTGGCCTAGCCCTCTGCTGATCTTTGGAGCATAAAACAGTCCCTACAGCTGTCTCTAAGTAATGATACATGGGAACGCTTCCTGTATTTCAGTTACACCTCCGTGTTGTATCTTGACTCCGTGGGGTGGAAAAGCCGAGCACACGGGCCATAGATGAGTTATGGTCTCCTGTTTTGGTCAGATCTTCAGTCTGGGTGATCGGGAGCAAGGACAGTAGCACTCGTTACAAAATGCAGCTTCTCTGCACCAGGATGAGCCTGTGTAACATTCTCCATGAATCAGGATTCAGTCTCTAAAAGTTTATCTTCTGCCATCTCCAGCTAACTGTGAAAGTGCCCTTTGTTTTTTGAGGATCGTGTTACTGAAATCCCGTGCGTCTCCATTTCTGAATTAGTCTTCAGCAGTGATGACAGTTGCTAGCTGATCAAGCAAGGCTTCACGCCAGCTGACACCCAGTTATCTCCAGGTTCTTTTATAATTATGTTCTTGCTATAGGAGAAAGTGTCTGTTCTTCTCCCCAGGAATTCCTCTTTGCTAGAGTGCATGGTAGTGTTTATGGTGGGGTGGAAGTGGGCAGAATTGTATGCTGCCTTTTTTGTTTCTTTAGGTATCACGATACTCACGGTTTGCGGGGAATGCCAGCAGGAAGAGTGCAGGTGCGTGTGCTGTGGGAGCACCTGTGGACCAAGGTAGTGAGCGCCGCAGGCTCTCCAGGCGAGATACTGCCAAGGACTCGGCTGGCAGCGCTGCTTCCCCCAGGCTTGAGTTCATGCTGAGTGGGGAAGGAGCTGTTGCAAATCGATTTCCTGAGTAGTAAAGGGTCTTCCATAGCATGCAGACTCTGTGCCTCCAGCATCAATAGCAGGCAAAGTCAGTATTCCTCAGAGTTTTTATTTTCAGCACAAAATCAGTGTTTTTCAGATTCGTTTTGAATTAGGAAGTCAAGGAGAGCTGAGAGTCAGGATTTACTGCTCATAGGAAATAAAATACCACTGGTAAATTCACCTACAGTATCCTGCCTTTGTATAAAGCAGTTCCAAATGCAGCAGCAGCCAGGAGCTGCTGCCTTGCAGAGGCCAGATCCTGCTTCTATGAAGGCAGTAAATTCTGGCTCCCTGCTCCTTTTCATTTTGTACCTCAAGGAAGGGACGTACTTTAGGAAGGGCTTCTTAATGATTGTATCCAATTCACAATTTTATGTTGTTAAAATGCAGTGATATGTACATTTGTAGTGTCTAACATGGGTAATGTAAAAGTCGTATTTCCTCCATTAAATCAATCTTGCAATATTTTTTTGATGCAGCAAAAGAAATGTTTCAATCTCTGATAATTTTTTCATCATCAACTGTCACGGGAAGGAAAAAAGAAATCAAGCTTCCTTGTACAATTGATAGACCTTCACAGCTGTTTAGGCAAAGCTGTGTTAACTACGGTTAAGTAAATATAATAACAATTACTAGGTTTTGAAAAAGAGACAAACTTTATTTCCTTAAACAAGCCCTGCAAGTGCTAAATACTTGATTCCCTGTTCTTAATATAGTCTTGAACTTTTGTTTACTAGATTTCATTGGAAGTTTCCTGTTGTTGTTTTCCAGTGAGTTTACAAGGGTTTTTTGCTTCCATATAAGTCAGAAATGGAACTGCCTATTAACTATTTAACGGCTATTACTTTTCAACTTGCCAAATGTGAAAATAAGCAACAGTATCATTTCCACAGTTTTATGAGCCTAAAAATGAATTCATTAGTGCAATCCGATTATGGCTTCATAAAAGAGAAGGGTAATGATTTGGTGCCTGCACCATATTACTGTTGGTTAAAATTTGTATCTCAGTAGCCCCCAGAGATCCAGATAGAGAGCACAGCCCTGTTAAACTAAGTATTATCCTAATGTGTAGGAGAAAGGCTCAAATTCCTAAGTTAAGGAAACACATATCAAACATTAACAAACAACATACAAGCAGTGATTTCAATAAATGATATTACTGAATGAATAGCCCTTGTCATAAGGGCCAAGAGACTATGATTGCAGAAAATTTAATGGATTTCTAGACTTGATGGTAGTCTTATAATTGCAGGAGAATTGATTTCTCTTATTTAACTCTGAAATACTCTGTAAACTTCAGTCATTTAAATAAAACAGCTTTTTTTCCTACATAAAGAAATATCAGTCTAGTTTTTCGCCCTGCGTTTCTTGCCAAGTGCCTACTAGTACCTTTGTACTTGTGATAAATTCCTGTCTTTGCACCCTGAGAACGCTCCATGCTTTTTACCTGCTAATCTCAGGACACCGGACAATCCGTATGTGATTTGGTGTCCGTCTGTGATGTGTCTTGTTGGTTGGAATTGGTGTTGCTGAGAGCGATGCAGACTCTCCTCTCTTGTGCATAAGCTTCTGTTTCTGCAGCGTTAGGGCTTCTGAAATGCAACTGAAATTTCACTTTTAAAATAAGTAGATACCTTGTCATTTGATAAATGTATTGTAAAGACCTCGTTTCTGTTTATATTGGAAATGTGTTAAGATGAGTCCTCTGCTGCCTAAGCAGGCCTCCAGGAGGTGGACTTGCACCCCTGACGGCTGCCTTCCCACGTGTTTGTTTCCTTGGTACAATGTCAGCGCTAAGTGTGCGGCTCGCTCCAAAACTGGAGAAGCAGCAGAACTTCGGAAGGGCCTGGAATAAAGCTCTAAAGCAAACTCAGAGAACAGGAGAAGCTGCAGAAAAATTAGTGCAGAGCCTTTACGCATTTAAGTGACAGGCGAAATAAACTTCCAGGCTATGGAAAAATTGGAGAGAAGAGTAGAATACTCTAAAGGAGTCAAAATTCTATTCTCTTGTGCCTGACAGCGGTTTATTACACCATAGCCCAAGGCATTGGTGTTTTCGATACAGAATTATTTCAAGGGTGCGTAGTGTTACCAGACAGTAGGTGAATGACCTGTGTAAAGTCATTTTCTGTCCTTAGCCTTCCTCTTCAGCATCCGTCTCACAAAAGCTTCCTCACTGAAAGAATGAATGAACGTGGTTAAAACTGTGTTGCTAAGTCATAACAGAGTTGATGCTCACAGGAAGTTTGAAGTGGAGTGGAAAATGTGCCACTCTTCCCAGATACAGTCTTTCTGTACCTTTGCCACAGCTCAAGAGGTGATTTGTTAATGTGGTGATGTATAGAAAACCCAAGCTACATTCAAGTAGAGAGGTTAAATGTAGGTTATATATAGTGCACCGCAGGCTGTGTTTTCTTGCCTAATTTCCTAAAGAAAGAAGCTATTCCTCTAAGCTATTCCTCTGTTTGCCTCCGTGTCACTTTTTAACGTACTTTTTAACCTGTTTCCCCTTCTCCTCTGGGAAGAGGAGAGAGACCCAAGTTAATGCTCTCTTTTGCAGAGCAGCCACATCATTAGGGCAAAGGAGGCTTTTTTGGCCTGTGCTGCGGACACATCATGGCAAGGGGCAGGGCTCGCAGTGGCAGATGCTGAGCCACAGTGTATGGACTGATGGGGCTGAGAAAGAGGAAGGAACTGTGTGGGCAGGGAGAAAAACTGGTGCACTGTGTGGGAGAGAGAGGAATTGGAGGTAGCAGGATGGAAAGAATTGCTCAGAGAGAACATGGGTGAGGATAGCGGCTGTAAGATTTAAATATGTGGGAAAGCAAGGTTGGAACAAGTTGTATTGGGACCAAATAGTAAGGGCAGTAAGGTGTTTGGTTGGTTTTAGTATTTCTGTTTCTCAGTCTTCAGTTTTGGATAAAATAGTACTACTTTTTTTCCAGGTCTTGATTTCATCCGAGCTGAAGGGTTTGTGTTTTCTCATGTTGCTGATGAAGGGATTATAAATGCCTGTGCAGGCAACCTGCTACGATACAGAAAACAAATTGGAGCAGAGAACATTCAGATTTTTGCTGATATTAAGAAGAAACATAGGTAAATGCAAGCAATATTTTATATAAATGTTAATGTAACAGTGATCAGATATTTTTTTTCTCCATTTCTGGTTTTGTTTTGTTTTTTAAAATATCTGTTTAGTGTCTGGAAAGTTAATGATATCGGGAGAACTTTATTGTTCAAACAAGGTCTTTCAATGCCATTAGGGAAAATGTTTACAGATAAATTTGCACCTGTAAGTTGCAGGTTGTTGTATCTGTGAAGTTAGCAGTTGTTTAACCTTTAAGATTTGTAAGTGTAGACTGTAAATGTGTTGCATGTCGTATCAGGTGAGATGTTATATCCTTAGCTATATGTCTGTTTTTTAAAGAAATTTTTTGTTTAGCAGGCTAAGCATCCAAGCTTATTTTTAATTATGCAAGCAGTTGCCACATGCAAAGCATCCATATCATAGGATTGTGGCATTTTAGAAAGCTATTCTCTTTTTTTTTTTTTGCCTTTATGCCAACAATACTGGTTTCTTCTACTTAAATCAATGCTGTCTGTATGCAGATTATGTTCTATGATTATCAAACAGAAGGAACTTGTGACAGATGAATCCAGTTTCTCTTCTGCTCGTATTTTATCATAATTGTCATGTGATACTTTCAGCTATGTAGATGTTACTCTTTTTTTTCCCCAGAAGAATTATTCAAATGTTACATACTATACATGCTAAATTACCTACATACTAAATATAAACATTTGAATTAGGTTATCATGGGCATAACCTGAAGATCTTAACTAACTGATTTTTTTTAATAAACTAATTGTTGCAAAATATAGAGGAAATGATGCAATGTGGTCAAATTAAGTTTTAAGGTTCTTCCAGAGTGGTTTCTTTCTAATTACTTTATATATATATTTTTTGTGTGTTTTTTAAAAATACATTGCATTGCACTTCTTCCCAAAATTGATTGTATCATGTGATCTCTTTTTTGTCTTGACAATTGATAAATTGACATTTGGGTTGCACTCTTTGCTATTTGAAGGGGTTGCTTTTTGAGAGAGGAAAAGAGATCTTTGTTTCAGTGAGATTCCTAAGCTGAGGAGGAGAGGTTAAAGGACTTGTTTGGGGTGTGTTTTTTTTTAATTTTTTTATTTTAGAAATATATACCTGCCACCAAGAGTTGCTAGCCTCCTATTCTCTAAATCAAGAGAAGCTATTTTATAGTTTACTCGTTCCTTTATAGCTACTCTTTACATGCTGGTCTTGTTTCTACCTCATTATGTGTCTTATGTACTTAACTTAGAGCTGCCTTTCTGCAGCTGCAGAAGGGGAATTAGTATAGTGACTTTTGTACCCAGCACCATGAGTGCAAACACCTGCAGAATGAGCATGTGCTGCTGCTCCATACCGGGCAAAGCACGGGCTGCCCCGGGGCGGTCTCCATCCTGGCTCTGTCACCACTTATCAGTGTGATAGATTGGCCGTAGCCATTGGTGTTTCTATATTTCTTTTTAAGTAGAAAGCAGAAGATGAGATATTTAACCTGCAATGACTGGAATTCTTTCAAAGTTTAGAACTACTTAAATTAAAAGTTGCTGTTGTTGTAGGTTTCAGGCAAAGTGCATCATCTGTGTACCAAGCACTGCTGTTTCAAAGATAAGATGCAGGTAACTGATATCAGCAGTAACTGCTACGTGAGGATGGTTCCTGTGACTCTGTTACAGGTAGTGAGCATACTTTGTGTTAGTCGGACTCCACGAAATGAAGTGGAGGGTTAATTCAGTTCTAGGTAACGGGTTCTGATTTATGAATGGCCGAACATCCGCAACTCCCACTTGGAGCCAGAAAAGCTGTGTGCGCTCAGTGTTTCTGAAATGCAGGTGCTCAACATGTCTCAGTTATGCTTGGTAGTTCACATTTAGCGATTGTTGTTTAGAGACAGAGCAAAGACCCAGAGCAATAGGTCAGTCAGTTATGACACTGTGATGGAAATGCTCTTCTCTTTTTTTTCTGTCTCTCTTGTTCATATTGCAATCTTCTCATTTTGATATAGGATGCTTACCTTCTCTTAAAAAGCCTCCTTTCAGTTGTTCTGACAGCAGGGAAGATGAAGAAATGCAGTCTAAACATACAACAAGATGGATAACAAACACGTGTGCCGAAAGTAACCAGAGGGTGCGTTTCCGCTGTTTACAGTGCTCACGCTCTGACGGCAGATGTCAGTGTAGCCGAGACGGCAAAGGCGGCTGAGTTCTTCCTGGCTGATGGGGTCATATTGACTGGAACAGCTACTGCAATGCCCGCCGATCCGAAAGAGCTGAAAGGTGAGAGCTGTCATACGAAGGTCAGACGGCAGGCAGTGAATCAGCTTCTGGATTAATGTAGAGAGAAATCTATATATCTGCTGTGCTTGAAAAAAGGGGGGAAGAAAAGAAACTCTTTCTCTAGACAGTTTGATTTGATACAGCAAAACTACTGTGATTGAGGTTCTATTTAGATTGTCTGTGATGTGTTTCTAGACAACAGTTTGGTGGGATAAACATGAAAATTATTTCAAGCTTTTATAAAACAGAATGATACTGAGGATGACATTTTTACGCAATGAGGTTCAATTTCTAAAAAGTTATAGTATAAGAAAAAGTTGCATCATAGCCTTACTAAAAAGTTAACTAACTGACTAAAAGTACTTTTCAATGGAAAGATGTAGATCTTCCAAAATGAAGGTGGAAGTTCTGCAGGAAAGGGGGCATTTGAATTTGGTAGCATTCCAAACAGTGATACCAGGGAAAATACTGCTTAGAAGATTTTCAGAAAGAATACTACTTCACTGTTAGAAAACTATATGGCATTTACATAATTTTTAAATATTGTGGACTTCTTACCAGGAAGTGAGTTCTGACCTTTGCGGAAGTGTTATGTGATTCTTCATATTTTTATACTGGCATAAATTTGAACTGTCTTCATGAAACTGGATTGCTCCCATCCTGGAATTTTCATTCTGTGTTAATGACTAATTCTAATTTAGATTAGTGAATTGAATTTGAGAGTTTGTCTACATAAAGTAGAATGTGTATTTTTTAAAGATTTTACTTGTGCTGACATCATTTAGCGTTGGCATTTAAAGTGCTACGGCAGACAGAGACTTGTATGCAACTTAGATTAGGTGAACTCTAAGGTGGGCACCCAGCTTAAAGTATATTCATCTATCTAATCTGGAGTTTTAAAACATGCTAGCTAAAATGTTAGCTAAAACAGATTTTAAAAATATCGCTTTTATTCAAGTGTGGGCAAGTCACGAGAAATATTAGACATCCACAGCTGCCTTTGAAGCAATTTCTATTTCAAATTGCAGTGATCATCTGCAATTGTAGGGGTGAATCTGCAAAATTAATTAGTGCATGCTTAGTCAAACTTAAAAAATATTAATACCTTTGCCAGAAATAATTGTTGAAGGAAGATACGGGCTCCATTTCTTTAGCATGTTCTGGTCTAAACCACCCAGTTGCTATTCTTTCTTTGTTATCATGCAAGAAGAAAAAACAAGCGAAAAACATACTTTACTTACTTGCCGTTAGAGACCTGGGCCTCAAGCGCTTAGAATAATGTGAAATCATTCAGCTTTTTTGGTATTTTACCCATATCATATGTGCTTATCAGCATTTAAAAGGCATGTTGAACTTGTCAAAATGGATTTTCGTTTTATACACATTAAACAAACTGTTGGCCAACGAACAGATGATAAATGAATGCACTTCAGTTCATCAGTGTTAAAAATAAAATGATGGTTTAGTGTGAAAACTGGGCTCGTGAATTGGGTTTTTTTCGTTTCATAAACTAGAAATGATACGGAGAACAGATCACGCTAAAAGCTAGGTCTGTTTTAGAGACTGCAAAATTTCATTAGTCTGGAGCTCCATCTCTGCCTTCTATTAATGTTGTCACACTCTTTATGCAGATTAAATTTTAAAAAAATGAATTTAATAAATCTTAGGGCAAAATCCGAGGTTAAATTCTGCTTTCCAGTATGTGCATGCAACCTCCCTTGATTTCATATGTCAGAGAGCAAAACCTGTCCTGTAGGCCCGTAGGTTTTTTATGATAGGACCTCAACCAGACAACACCACGAATTCTGCTTTTCTTTCCTGTGAAAAAATGTCAGTCTCGGTCTTGTTCCACTTCTGGGTCCAAAGAACAAAATGAATCAGAGTTGGCAGCCGGAATGAAGTACACACATAAATTTTCCGTTTGAATTTGTGCTATGAAGCAAGAATATGAGGATCATGGGTTCATGTTGCTCAGGTCACAGGAATTTGAGACGTTAGCAAGCCATCTCTCAAGAAGGCTGTTGACTTAAAATGGTTAAGAGAAGAACTTGAAAGTCATTATTGCAGGGCATAAGGAAATGACAGATTAGGCATATCTATGTTGGCAGATTCTTAAAAGGAATCAGATCTACAGTATAAAAAGTTGGTGTTGACGTGAGTGAAATTTTGCATTTCACGAATTTATGCAGTACTGGAAGTGCTGTATTACGATGATGCACACAATTGGGCACCTTTCATCACACTGCAAAGCATCTCTTGAAAGCAGAACCAGAAAGACGGATGAGATTTTTGTCATGTCTTTTTTACAGCTTTGTTGTGCAGTAATGCAGAAGTCTTTTTGTCTTTGCATCAGTGTGTTAAATTGACTGATTTGTGATGGGGTATGGGAAACGAGTGTTTCCCTGTCAAGCCAGAGAACTATGTTCAGTAGGGTTTTGCTTGTAGTTTGTGTTACTACCTTCTCGTAGGCAACTATCAATGTTACTCTTGACAGCAACTGGCAGCCTTTGCTCTTACAGTGAGCAGTGACCTTCCTATAGAAAACAGCTGGCTTCGGCATGTGTGCCAAGGCACCATTGCTCATGGGAGCAGGAGATCTAAAAATCTTAATGCTGCCTTCAAGTCATTAAGGAGCAGGAATTGTAGCTGAGCATTTTGAATTGCAATTAATTTATTTAACAGACCATATTTCCATTTAAGAGGTTATATGACTTTGTTCCAGTTTGTTACGCTGTGAAAAGGTTCTTTGATTGGAGAGTGTGAATATGTCGGGTTTGCTGCTTGAGTATAAATGCTTTCAGCTTAAATTCCCGGTTCAAATCCGGTCCATATTAAGATGACCAAAGCCTTTGTATAATGACTGCCTGGTTATCGGTATAAACAAAGTGAATGGTCTCAGCTGAGTAACTAGAGAACATCACAAAAACCAGCAGCTGGCTATGACTGTCACCTCATTTGTAATTGCTCATACAAGGGGCATCAGGACTGATTTGCCCTCCCGTGCTTTGATGGTCTGGTTAAGTCAAAACAGAGGCTACTGCCTTTGCAGTACCTTCCTATAGATAAACAGGAGATGCAAGTCTCTGATCTGTACTTTTCGTAAACCTGAGATTTAATGACAGGAAAGAAGTCCTTTGAATTTAAAAACTGAAATGTGTTACAGTGGAGTATTACCATAAACATAGTGTTGTGTACGGTACAGTGATTGCTGCATATGAAAAAGCTGTTAAAGGAGAGTAGTCGAGCAAGTTATTGGCCCAGTGGTGCTTATTTTTACACTGCTCTTTGCCATTGTTTTCAAGCTAGGAGCATTTGGCCTTTATTTCATGTAACTTATGCATACCATAGTTCAAATGCTTTCATTGTGCTTTGCAACCAAGCACTGTTTCATTTGATTTTATTAAAGACATGTCTGCAGACGTACTGTCACAAGAAAGAGCGCAGTGCCCTCTAGTTACAGTTTACTGAAGTAGAGAAATGTGCAAGTTCCGTAAACGCTGGGATCTAGTTGCTTCAGCATCACAAAATTGTCACCTTTTCTCTCTGCGTCAAAAAATATTGTCAGAGGAAGAAAGCTGGAAAAGATTTAAACAAGGGGCTCTATGTTTAGAGACATCTAACAATGACGGCACGTCACCGTGCAGAAGCATATCTCACTGCTGTTGCTTTATTTTCTTTTACAAGTTAGAATTTGCATTAACAAAGCCAATAGACAAGTCATTTTATACTAATCAACTTTAGGCCTTGATATGTTTGGGAATGACTTAAAAGTAATTTCTGCAGCATACTTAACTAGGTAACCTAGGTTTATTGTAGATGGGGTACTCCTATTGCCATCCTTCACGTGTGCTGTCTGAATAAAACTCAAGCACAGGAAGAGCTGCGTGTGGACAGCATGTCACGTATGGATCGCAGTAGGCGCTAGATAGCTTGCTGTATAGGGAAGCTTTGGGGTTTTTGATAGATTCATATCAGTCTCAGGTTTCCTTGTTGCAGTCTTTGCCCAATAGAGCTATGCTATTGTCTTACACCCTTGAGATCAGGCTCTGTTTAATAATTTGGTTCTTTGTTTTTCCTGCTGATGGGAAATAATTATGAAACAACTACCTGCTAATGTGTCTTACGCCTTGTCATAAAAACAAAGATTGACTTGGAACGCAGTCCCTCTGGGAATGCAGTAAAACGCTGGTGCACAAATCTGTGGTCAGTTGTAGCACCTTAATTATGGATCTGTGTAAAGCAGATCTGATATTCCTAAGAGTACATAAATACTTTAAAATTCTGATTTTTCTAGAACAGGATTTCATTAACAGTACTATAAAGAACCAAAAAAAGAATTATTTTGTTGTAAAAAGGACAACTATCAGACAATTAAAATATGCATGGAAATAACCATTGCTTTTAATCATGTGTGTGATCCAGGTTTTTTTTTTTTTAAATTCTCTGTAAAGAGTGCGTTGCATGGTTCTATTCTTTTGTGTTCAACCGTTTGCAGCAAATGGTTATTGTTCCTAGACAGAGAAACAGTAGGATATGTGACCTAAAAAGAGTTCTAGTTTAACTGATCCCCTTTCTCCAGTGAAGCAGAAAGTTGATAAATAATTAGTCTTTCCTGAAGCATAATTAATAAGTTTGGCATCTGATGAAACTTTAAATATAAACAGTGTTTTGGAGCACTTTTGTATGTTACATGCATGCTTTCCCGAGTTGCCTCAAGCTTTAACCATCTTACGTCAGCTTATTATCCCACTTACAACAATTTGTATGTTTTTAAAGGTTAGAAATAATGTCTCACAACATTTCTTCAAGGAAGCAGTGAAGCACCCAAGAGTCACAGGAGTGACTCTTAGGATGGCCAGTTTGAAAGGGAAGAGTGAGAAGGGTGCTTAGTAGCTCTTGAATTGGCCCTCCCCGCCCCCCGGAGCTGGTACTGACTTAAATTCTTTGGAAAATACTGCCTGTTCTTTATCCCTGGGGAACCTTTCCATGGTCCAAAAAGCCACCCCCTTTTGTTTTCAGTCTAAAAATGTTGGTTACCTTGACTGAGCTGGGTGTCAGTTCCTGTACAGGAGGCTTCTTCGGCATGCTTGCACTTCACAGCAAGCGTGGTCACCTGAGCCGCTGAGTGAAATCCACCCCTTTGCGTGAGGGATGGAAGAGAGTAAAATAGTGTGTGAGCCGTGTTTCGATGTTTCACCCATTTGTCCTTGTGGAACCAGGTAAAGGGCCAGAGGATGGAAAAACACCTACTATGTCTAGAAAAAACAATCTTTGTCTTTTTTGCTCCATTGCAATTTATAGAAAGAGAAGTCGTCTTTATCGATACTGTCTTCTTGTTTTCCAGTAAACTAACTGGAGCTTATCAGTGTAGTCTGTATGACCACTGCTTGCTTTCCTACTTCCAGGTCCCCTGAAATTTACTGTGAAGTAGAGAGCATGTTCCTATCCCTTTCCATGTGAATAAGGCCCTTTTCTGCTTCTTCACTGAAGATATTCTGCTAAATAACCATATAGCATAAATTCAGCAGAGAGACCTGGCAGGAATATACACCAGGCCAACTACCATTATTGTGATTTAAACTGATAACTGAAGAACTGTAATGAGCACAGCCCTACTGGATAGTTCTGCCACTCTTAATCTCACCACATGCTTGCGAAAAAGAATCTGAGCCAATATAATAAATGCAAACAAGAATGGCATCTTGCTCTTGTTTCTCTATTTTGATTACTTCATAGGAAGATTTTTCAGGGGTTATTCAGTTCTTTTAAGGTGAAAGGAAATTGAGAAGCAGTTAAAAATCCCCAGGAGGCAGGGTGACTCCAGCAGGAGTAAATCTTCTGTTAAGGCAATGGACCTCTTTTGCCTGGAATCTGTACCAGGCGCTACTGCAATACAAACAGTAAAACATAGCTCCTTTCCATGTGTGTGTAGTACTGTAAATACAACGGAGCCTCTAAGCATGATGGTAATAGTCACCTAAAGTAAGAGAGTCCAGGATACAGCAAAACCATGCTAGTCCTGCTGTGCAAAGACTTCCTGGATCCAGCATCTCTTCTTTCCAGGGACATGGGAGGAGAATCAATCTTTGAAGGAATGTGGTTGAATGCAGTGTATTCTCTGCCAGCTGATCTTGCTGGACCCTGGTCCCCTGAGAAAAAAGAGGGATTACAGCTATGGGATTTTTAGACCCACCTTTCCATAGCACTGAAACCATCCTCTTGATATGTGGCCAGCAATATTATTTTGCAGCCTTTCACACAATGACAGAATGCAAGGCAAAATGGTATTGTGTTAACGGTTGCTCAAAGCTAAAGGTCATTTCTCTAGAGAAGTTGTTTCATCCTCTAGTAGAAGTAAGAAAGCCATGATCAAGAGTTTCTTGACACTTACCTTTCTTTATTGTTGGAAAACCGCATAAGTTGGAGCAAGTTAAAATAGCCTCGATAGAACTTTGAAGACTGGACAGAGGAGATCAGAGGACTTAACCCTAATACTGATTTTCTTCACTTCAGAGGTTAAACAGGCTGTGAAGATTCCTGTGCTGATTGGGTCTGGAGTGACTCTGGAGAATGTGAGGAATTACTTGGATGCAAATGCCCTAATAATTGGTTCGTATTTCAAGAAAGAAGGTTACTGGGCAAATGGTGTTGATTCTGACCAAGTAAAGAAATTTATGGATCACATAAGAGAACTGAGCGGATGAAGTTGTTAGCAAGCAGTGTTTTTTGTCTGTGTGTATACAAGTGGCGTTTGATACATTGTACAGAATTAAAACACAAATGTGCACTGGAACGGCTAATAACATTAAATGAAAATGCACATCATCTCCGTAGCTAGTTGGGAAACCAGATGACACTTTAAAATAAACTGATGTTCGTTTCTAGGCAGCATATTTCTGTGGCACTCAAATCCACAAAGCCAAACTCTCTGAAGGCTTGCGTAATGTATTCCCTACTATAAGTAAAATGCTTATGGAGGTTAAGGATTTGTAGTAAATATTCATCATGGGATGAGCTGAGTTTTCTTTCACATGTGAGTACAATAGGACACCCTAAGTTTATAGCAAACAGCATTGTAAATTGGACAAGTTAATTAGCCTTTCAGTTTCCCCATCTGTAAAATGATGATAATAGTACCTACAGCACAGGGGGGTTGTAAGACATAATGAATGAATGAATGTACAGCACTTTCATCCCCTCAAATGAAGGGCTCTATTAAAGTTCAAGATCATTATTTTTTCATTAGAATTGTGCATTTATTAGAAAAATGTAGTAATTGTATACCATACAAAAATTTAAGATAATTGGGAAATTGATTTACTTACAATACTTATTAGAGAATAAATGTAAATATTTAATTACATTTTAAGTAGAGTTGGAATTTAGTCAAAATGTTTTCACAAAAATTTTTTTTAATAAAGGTTTATTGCTATTTTTCAGCAAGCTCCTACAGCTGTGTACCTCTCCAGACTAGTATTAGGGATGTTAAAAACTGCCAGGTTCCTTCGTGTACACACAGGTGTAATTACGATGGAAGCTTTTCTACAAAAACTGACAGGTAAATACAGGTTTTCATTTTTCCTGTAAAACGTGGGGAAAAATATGACAAGTCTGACCATGTATACTATAAGAGATTGCACTTCAATTTGTTCTTTTAGCTCTAAGGAAGTTTTTTTTTTTAAAAAAAAAAAAAAAAGCAATGTCTGTTGTGTCATGGATGAATAAAGTATGGGCATATGTTTTCATTCCTTGGGACTGTGAGCTAAATTTGTCCTGTGGGATCTCTCTCTCTTTCCTTGACAACTATACATCAGGCTTCTGTTGAGCCTAATAAAAGTTACATTTTATATATCAATATTTTTTGTGTCAGCTAGCAGATTGCCCCTCTTCCTCTGAACAAAAGATACATTCTCCTTCCAAAGGCAGAAATAGATTTTTCAGGAAATTTAGTTTCGTTAACGTAAGGATGATACGAAAACATCGCAGCCTGAGATTATCTTCTCCTCGGGTGCTGTTTCTCTGGACTAGTCTGCCTGCCCCCTGGCTGCCATCAGAAGTAGACAGATATCTCTGGCCTCCTAGAAAACAGATTCTTCAGAGCCTGTGACAGCTTTGGTGTTCTGCTTACCTCCCTTTTCCTCCCGGGCAGACTGACAAAGTTTCAATGCATAGAAATCCTTTCAGGTGCCTGTTTGTTGTGGCTGACACTACTTTTTCCAAGTCCGTATTTACATAGGCATTTTAATCTGCCGTGTGTTTGCGCTTCCATCAAAAAATGTGGTTCCATCCCACCCTCTTGTCCCCACCGTTTCTCTTCTGACAGCACTAGCATTTGCGTTTCCTCATAGTGGTCAGGAGACGGATTGTAGCTGAAAGCTAAACCAGCCTTGTACCAGCCACACGCATAAAGATATTTAGTTAGATCATCTTCTTCTTCATTCCATTTCCAGCTCTCACTTGAAGCTGCAGGTATAGGCAGTACAGAAATATTTGAGGATCTTAAAGACGCTTTCTGAATCTTCTTTTTCTTGCATCTATTCACCCTCTGCATGTTTTGATATAAATATATCTGGCAGGTAAAGCATTGATCTGATTTATTCTCTAAGTTCTTAGCCTAAATATTGAGTTCCTTGACCTCTTTATTGTGGAGGGGAAAAAACAATGAAATAAAAAAGAATGAATTTAGATATTAGTAGTATCAATGTGTTTAAATCAGTACATATTTTTCACCTTTGTGTGTTCAGGGCTATTTTCAGGCCTTTCACAAGTTGCATAAATCTTCAGTGCAATCAGGTATGGAAATATAATGATGATTGTACTGGCACATATTAGGTAAGAGAATTGTCACCAAGTTTGGAAGTTATTTTCAGTAAACCTATAAGCTGGAAAGGCTGCCCTGTGAGCGATGAGCACTAGTCAACACTAATGCCATAAGCAGAATAAACAGTTTAAAGTAGTCAGTTGAAAGCTTTAACCAAAACACTGATAAGGATTGTTCAACAATGATAATCCTTTTTTAAAGGAATTGATTACAGTTGCCAGAAGTCACATTCATTACTACAAATGTGAAAATGTAGTGTGTTATAAACCAACACAAGAAACATGCTGATGTTCACATGCATCCTGACATCTCAGAAGTGACCGGGACTTCAGTGGACTTACATCTAAATAAAAGGGATGGTAAGTGAAAACTACTTCAACGCTATATATAAGGTGTAACTGAAATAATGTCATACACAGCAGTCTTTGTAAGACAAAACCCTAATGAGTTGGTGTCATGCTCAGAACATGCAGTGAATACCGTAGACAGCACCTTCACTCTACTAGTACTGCATTTTAGCACACCATTGTGCAACCCTTGCAGGAGGAACAAGCCTTAATTTGGATCTGTATTATTGAGTGTAAACTAACTGCAGAATTTAGGGACAAGAAGTAAAGGAAAGCTGATTTTAAAGCCTGGGAAGGTGGTTGATCGCCAACTGTTTATCATTCTTTATGCTAAAAGTATTTGTCTAGCAGCATTAAACATCTGCTTGGCTGTTTCACACAGATGCTGTAAATAGAATTTGACCTTTTGTTCAGAAAGTGTTTGAATATTTAATATAAAAATACTAAGTTATCAGAAAGGCTGTCTCTTTTGGGAAGAGTGTTCAGTTTTTATACAGCCCGAGTCCTTAAAGTACTTTGGAGCATGAATAACTTTAGAGCAGAACAAAGCAGGCAGTGCTAATGTGTAGAAACTCCAGAAGTAAATAACAGCTGTTCAAGAAGACTTCTATTAAATATGTATTAATTAAGTTGAAGTGCATCACTTAAATATGTGAAGAGATTATCTTGTGTTAATTTACATTAAAACACACAGCACTTGTTAGCCTCATTACAGTTTCCTGAGTGTATCCTAAGCTATCACCTCTTCCTACATTGAGCATTTTGTTGGGTGTTGATTACTTTCGATTTGCCCTTTTAAAATGTCAGATAGTGGCCTCCCTTTCTTGTTGGATCTCATCTTCGTCTCACATTTTGCTCTTGCGTAGTTACTATACATATTTGTGTCTGTTCTGCGCTGAATATAAGAAACGTAAGAATAGATTGTGAAAGTGTAATATTTGTTCCTCACAGCACAGTTCCCCTATGTGCCCACCTGTGCTTCATGTGTGGTTCTCGCTGTTAACTTATGAACAGGCAGTAAGAATATAAATATGTATTTGTGTAGCAAAATGAGTTCACACAAAGATTCAGTACCCCCTTTAGTGCAGAAAAGATACCTGGAAAAATGGGATCTGTTTAGTGGAATTACAAATAAGTCGTCAATGAACTTACCGATAATAAAAATAACAGTACTTTGTGGTTTAAGTCAATATATAAATCTTAAAACCCTTCACTCCATTCCTAAAACTTACATACTTTTATCCTGCACTGGAAGCAGGTAACTTGATGAAGTGCAGTCCCAGAAAGTCATGCTACCTAAAATTCCTGGCTCCCAGTTTTGAGTTTATCTACTAACATGTGCCTTTGCCATCTTACATCTGACTCCCATGAAAGAGCGCTGGTCAGCTCGCAGCACTTCAGATTTATCTAACTGAAGACTTAGAAATATTTTCCATCTCCTGGGCCTAGATATAGGTCACCAGTCATTTTCCGACTCTTTTCCAAAACACCGCCCCTTTTGTGTTGAAAAAATACCCATGGGCAAGACAGGAGGGGTGATGCATTCCACTAGGTCCCCCATCCGCAGAGCACACCAGCCGTGCAGTTTGGACACTGTCAGTGGAACCAAATTTTAGTGCAGTAGCCCTTACTTTCTTTATCATCATTAGTGACTTTTCCCTGGTCCTAATAGTATAGGGTTTTTTTTCCAACAAATTTCAGTGCTGGAACTACTTAAGCTTGTGAGAGTTACAAATAATTTTCAGAGATCATTTTCTTCCTTGTGTCATCTAGGTAGCCGATCCAGCTTTTAAGCCATTCTTTGTGGTACCAGCACATTATCCCATTATTTTGTCTCCCCAGACCCCTTGATTACAAGCTGGAGTCCAGTTCTTGTTTCCAGCACCTATTCGCACGAGCTCCTCACTGGGGGAAAACTGTAGAATGTAAAGGACTTGCAGGAAGGTTCTGGCAGAGCAGGAAAGGGGAAGAAAACCAAATATTTTGGCTGTAGCAAAATATTGAAGTCTGTGATAAATTGCTATGTTACATGATACTCTTGGGAGAAGTGAAAATGGGGATGTTTTTCCTTTTGACTTCAGATTGTTTCATCAGTTCAGTCCTGGGTTATGTTTCCAAGATCATCTCTGCTGGTATGAGTGCTTAGGGAGACATTTTTACTGAATGAAAGCTGAAGTTCTGTAGGATAACTGTGGCAGTAAGGGGTGATTTCTGTAGCAAATTCTACAGTTGGAATTCACAGCTCTGTGGTTTAGGAACAGATTTAGGCACAATGTATTTATCTTCAAAAAGAAACCATGAAAAGGTTTTCATTCCAAAACTTCTCTCACTCTCTGCATCTTTGCCCCTGGTATCCACGCAGCTCTCAATGTTTACTGTGCTGCAGCCATTTCTGCCCTATCAGCTGGAAGCTCTTCAGAGAAATAATTGTTTTGAGCTCGTGTTTAATGTTATAAGCACAGTGTCCTGGAACTGGCGTAATAAAGAACTCTTGGAACCTAGAAACGGAGCTTAGGAGCAGAACTATGTGTGTTCTTGTTCATAAGCATTTGCAGTGTGATTGCAAGGTGATCACAAATCTGTGAAACCTAAAGGATTTGTTGTTTGTTATCCTCTTTTTTTCAAAAAAGGTGGAGATTTGGGCTGAGATTTTCCTTTTGTGCCATGGTGCTTAATTGAATGTAACCCCCATACACACACTCCACTCTGGGCTCCCCGCAGCAGAAATGTCATCAGGAGTTAAAGTCCTTCAAAGATGTATTGAAGTAGGCTTCCTCCACAGAGGCATCAGGGCAACATACCCAACTAGTTCTTTGCTTTTATAAGAATTGGTTCTTGTACTGGGGCTTGCAATAAATTGTTCATGTTGAGGCATATGGAACTTGTATTCTTTTTTTTTTTTTTTTTCCTACCCACTGACACTTGGTGGCAAGGATTATTTGAGCCTTTGAACACTTATTTTAGGGATAGAAAGCTTGTTTCTCATATAATGGCTGTTGAAGACCTACATTAAGTTTAATAACTTCAGTCAGTGTTCTCATATGATGAATGGGTAGGAATCTTCTATCACCAAGTCCGTACTTAAGTGCAAAAGTGTAAGTTAAGTGTGTAAAAGTAACTTTAAAGATCCTAGTTTGCCAAATCTTGTATGAGATTAAGCGTTGAAGATAGTAATTAAATTCAGAATTGTGTCACTTCATGCTGTAGTCACTATATTAGCTGTACCATTCTTATTTTGTGGGAAGGAATCCCAAATGCAACAGTAGACAAGGATGGAAAGAAGGCAGCATAGTAAGGACAAGAAAAGATGCTTAAGTTTCCCAGAGTTCCTGACTTGTTTTCTCTTCCAGCTTCCTGCTTTTTCATTTTGCCTCTCGAGCCTTTCTTGTGCATACACATAGATTATAGTATGCAGAAGACTAAGAATAAGCTGAAGGCAGAAACTGACTTAATGAAGACATTCTTGTGATAGAGAAAAGATTCTGTTGTCCACAGATGCACAAAGTAAAATAGAGAAGCAGCTGCCCTTAGAAAAGGAAGTAAAAGTAGAGATGAGCTCCACGTCATGATGCTTTAGTCAAGATCTGAAATGTTGAAAGCCTCTGCATGGGAGGGTCTGTACTTTGTAGAGGCAAATAACCAAAAGGAGGGGAAAAAAAAAAAGCTTCTGCTGGAAAAATACTGTGAGAGTCACGTCTTAGATACTGTCTTGAAATGTATTGACTTTTTGTCAACTTTCAGCTGGAAAATGAGGATAAAAGGAAATTGCTTTCAACTATTGCTACGGGCGACAATATTTAAAATCAATCTCTTGTGAAAAACATCTGTTTCCTCAAGACCAAACTATAGAACAGAGGTATGGCCATGCTCTGTCATATTCCCAAGGAAGATCTGTAAAGGCACAAAGGCCCTCATCTCAGTTGTTTCCTCCTTTCGTCTGCAGGTAGATCTTTTTGGTTGGTTGGTTTCTCAGGAAGCCTTTGGGGGCAGAGACAGTCCAGAGGTGATGGAAGGAACAAATGCAGCAAGTGGGTGGGTAGGTGAGGAGTTAAGGTACAGCAATCAAGTGGAGGCTTCTCGGGTCACCTTGCCTGCAGAGTTAAGAAAGTAGGCATGTAGCAGGTCAGTAACATGGTTATCAAATTTACAGAGTACGTGCATCACACCCATGAAGTGGAGAGCAGTGGAACGTGGGTGAACCAGGATAGCCTATTCTAGTCCTTGCATGCAAACAATGCTACAATTTTGCTGAGGCATTCTTGAGAGCAAATGAAGCCACTGATGTTTGGGCTGGGGAAACTATAGTCTGCAGTGCTTTTATGATAGTAATTTGAGAGCTTAAATAATTATATGATTAATATTCCAATTGCATACTGAAAATCTGCAAGTTTCAGGAAAGAATTCTCTCTTACACAGCCTTGATCAAATAGCTAAATACTATAGGATTCCTCTGAAGCACTAGCCATGGCTGCAGCAGTGTTCCTGATGAAATAGATCAGTGGCCCAATCTGCTTTGACAACTCCTGTGTAACTAAAAATAGGAAAAATAGAAGAGAGAATTTGTAGGACTGGTAGTGGCTTATATTTTTCAATAATTTATCAAGATTCGAGAGCACAGATTTCCTTTGGGAAATATTAGTTCTTAGGTTTACAAAGTGTCTCAGTTGTAAATACCCATAAAAATGACAATTTGGTAGGTCGTATTTATTCTTAAGCGGGTCAAAGGACATTAGTGTATTCCTAGTGTATAAATCTGTCAAGTACAGAATTTCTTTATGCTCCCAAATCACAAAAGCGCCTCTTGCAGTCAAGGAGAGAATGTCACATTATTGCCAATCAAGGACAACAAGCAAACATATCG